TGATCCAAACCGGTTTAGAAACGGCGCGAATATTATACTTGGATCGGGACCGTCAAAGTAAAAGCCGTGCGAACATTTGAAACAATGTCTCACTGGCGTTCCGCGAGCCCGTCAGATCACGAAATAAGACGGGAAAACGCGAAATTGTTCCTGATGCGATAGAAACAACCAGTAGCTACAAGATACCGTAGTTTAGCACCTACCGTAGACTATATGCTATAAAATGTATGCCTTGCAAAATTGAAAAATACAACTTGGTTGAAAAAGCTCTCCTCTCGTAACTCTCCTAGAGTTAATCGAGCTACAGATATTCTGGCCACGCCGATGAAGGAAAGGAGCTGACTTGCTACTCAGGATTCGTACTCTCTCGACACATTCGGACCCTTGAATAGGGGCTGACTTCGGTCAGGCACCTAGGGACCCTTGAAGGTGACCACAAGGAGAGGAGTTTCTTGAGGTCTTAAGGTTGAGAGTAGTGGAAAGAAGATTTTTTTTTTTTTTTTCATTCCTTTTTTGTTTAACAACAAGAACGGCGACTTTGCTGCCCCTCCTTTTGCTGCTCTTGCTCCTCTCAATATCGGCCCCGTCTGACTTTTCTTTCGACCCCTTTCCATTTCTTCTCTTTTTTGCAATTTTCATCAGGTAATAGCACCCCCCTGACCCTACAGCAGCGGGTGGACATTCTGATAGGAGTGGCGCGTGCGCTGGAGTATCTGCACAGCTGTGGCATCTTGCATCTCAACATCAAGCCCGCCAACATCCTCCTGGACTCCAACATGCAGGCAAGTTTCATAGTGCGTGCGCTGATGAGCATTTCATGAGGAGCCAAATCTCACGCTGGTGCCTTTTCTTCACTAAAGCCAACGTTCTACGCATCTGGACGAGCCGTGACTCGTAACACATCACTCCATGAGGATCACTCTGTCACTGATTCATGCAGAGCACGTTGCTCTCTTCTCCCTCCTGCAGGCGAAACTGGCAGACTCTGGTTTGCCGATAATGGACGACAACAGCGGGTCACCGGAGTCCCCGTCTGGTCAGCGGGCCAGACGAGTGGAGGGCTGTGCACAGGGCTCTATGGTCCTCGTCTATTCACGCCTGCATGCTGATGTGTACAGGTAGGAAGACATGTGCATTTGCACCCTTGCATGGTGTTGAGAAGGGCAAATCGAGTCTGAACCAAACTGCAAGCGCTCCAAGCTCAATCCCCTGGGCGGCACTATGGTATGACGACTAGTCCCCGGCTACGCATCCAGCGAGTGAGAACAGGCGTTATGTATGGCGTGAAAGGGGATTCAGCCGTGTGTGCCTCAACACTCAAGTTGAGTGTGTGTTGTAGCTTCATTCCCATCGGCTCACTCACGCCTCTCTTTTTGAAGAAGTTCCAACGTCTCGGCTGGTAGGGCCAATTCACATTCCGCGAGGCAGGCGTGTGAAAGGGGGTAGTGACATCACGCGGTAATGTCATCAGTGTCTTGACCACGCCCAGTGGCCCATCTGGCGTCAGCGATAGTGAGTGGAGTAGGTGTGCCGCCCGAGTGAAGCTCACTAGGAAACGGTACAGACCTTCAACTGTGCGGTCCGACAGGCCAGGCCCCTCTGAGCGAGGTTGGGAGTGATGCCTGCTCCCAAACTCGCCTCTGCTCTTCATAACCGCGGCGAAAGCGGGTGCCGCACGCTGTGAGTAGTGTGGTAAGGAGGTCCTTCCTCCATTGTGGTAAGGAGGTCCTTCCTCCATTGTGGTAAGGAGGTCCTTCCTCCATTGTGGTAAGGAGGCCCTTCCTCCATTGTGACCACGTGGCACGGGGGGGGAGGTGGAGGGGGGTTGTTTGTGTGAGGTATGACATTCGCTGCAAGATACAACGGATAAGTAGTAGAGATGCTAACTGTGGGTCTATCTGTGCCAGAGGAGGAGGAGGAGGTTTCGCCATTCCCCTCAGTTGCTCGTCAAGCAAGACAACTGCGCCCGCGTTGGTCCCGATGCAGTTGGGGCTCCACCACAATGTGTGCGCGTGGACGTAACACGACCCCACCAGCAGACACCTTACCAACGGGAGTCCCCTTTTCGCAAAATGTATGATGTGAAGGCCGATGCAGCTGATGTACGCTCGCCGATGAATGTGACGTCATCAGCGTATGCCAGGCTGAGCACCGACGGGTAAGCTGCTGGCGCGTAGTGCTAGGTGAATGCCGGCTGCAAAGAGCAGCGTTTCTAAAGGATCTTCTTGGCCGCGGTCACTGCTTAGGGGTGTGCTGTTGAAGCCGGCGTCAAGATGTAGCAGTGAGGGTTGGCCGTACGGCAAACGCATCAAGGGCAGCAAAGGCCTAAGAGCAGAACCTTCGAGGGCTGAGACGATGGATGGTTTGGCGTGAAATGCTGTTGTTAAAGGCGTTCGCAAGGTCTGTTTGGAGGGCGACACACTCTGGGTTGGCGTCTGTATAGGCACGACGATGCGCGGTGAGTGTACTATTGCTTCCCCGCCACCTGTGACTGCTACTCCAAACTGCAGCGGGAGGAAGTAGTTTTGAGCTACTTCTCCCATTAGAGTGAGTACTGCCTGGGAAATCGGGCGTGCATCTCATCTGGTTTGACTAGTGCTATGAGGCGGGTCGAAGTCAGGAGTTTGGCGACTGGTTGTGACAATTTGCCCCCTAACATCGTGTTTGTCAGCGCATGCAGGTGGGTGCAGATTAGGGCTTTTCTCAGTGAGGCATCGCGAAGGTGCTCAAACGTTATTCCTGATGGCACTAACAGCAGGTCGTCGTTAACGGCTAGGTCGTCGCTCACCATCTGGAACCGGCTCACCATCTGGTTACTGGCTCACCATCTGGTTACCGGCTCACCATCTGGTTACCGGCTCACCATCTGGTTACCGGCTCACCATCTGGTTACCGGCTCACCATCTGGTTACCGGCTCACCATCTGGTTACCGTCTCACCATCTGGTTACCGGCTCACCATCTAGTTACCGGCTCACCATCTGGTTACCGGCTCACCATCTGGTTACCGGCTCACCATCTGGTTACCGGCTCACCATCTGGTTACCAGCTCACCATCTGGTTACCGGCTCACCATCTGGTTACCGGCTCACCATCTGGTTACCGGCTCACCATCTGGTTACCGGCTCACCATCTGGTTGCCGGCTCACCATCTGGTTGCCGGCTCACCATCTGGTTACCGGCTCACCATCTGGTTACCGGCTCACCATCTGGTTACCGGCTCACCATCTGGTTACCGGCTCACCATCTGGTTACCGGCTCACCATCTGGTTACCGGCTCACCATCTGGTTACCAGCTCACCATCTTGGTTACCAGCTCACCATCTTGGTTACCGGCTCACCATCTGGTTACCGGCTCACCCATCTGGTTACCGGCTCACCCATCTGGTTACCGGCTCACCATCTGGTTACCAGCTCACCATTTGGTTACTGGCCCTAGTGCTTCCTCTCCTGCCCGTGGTGTTCGCAACTCCAGTTCAGGGCAATTTGAACGGATGTTTCTACTGTGGAATCACTTGGTTCCAAAGTTTTTCTGGATAACCAACTGAATGCACATGAAGGCTGGTTTGTTGCTCCCATTGTCATGCCCAGTACCATACTCCGCTCTCATCTCTCTGTACTGCCCTTCACTTGATCCCTCCCTCCCTTCGCCCCTGTGTCCCACTCCCCTCCGCCCCCTTCATCCCGCTCCTCCCCTCTTCCTGCCCATCTCCTGCCCGCCGTCAGCCTGGGAGTGGTACTGCTGGAGCTGCTGTCAGGCCGCCGTGCCTTCGCTCCAGGGGGAAAGAATCTCAGAGACAGTGTGAGTGCGAGTGGAGCATTCTGAGAGTAATGCCAGCAGCTCAGTACCTTCATTGCTACAGTGTTTCGAGTGTGATTTTGGTCCGGCGATTTCTCAGAATCCTCCTTCCGTTCAAAGCAGTGGTTAGGCAGTAGGAGACTCGACCAACCACTGGTACGGGCAAACAGGAGATAAGTTGGATGTATGCACCAAAATTATGTGCGCTGCACTTTTTTTTTTTTTTTTTTTTTTTTTTTTTGAGCTCGCGACATGGTGAAGAAAAATTCGGCCTTTGCAAATTGCGGTCTCAACTTCGAATTTGAGTTTTGAATCTGATCCACAACCACCCCTCCTGTTTACCGTTGTGCAACCCACTCCACCACATTCATCCAATTCCTTCCAACTCATAGCATGAATGTGGCTCATTCCTCCATTTGGTAATCATCTTTGGATTCTTTCCCTCATTCTTATCGACGAGTATGACTAGAGTCCCTCCGAATCCTATCTTTCCTTGTCGCAACTGGGAACTTTTTTATTCTTTGTTTTACTGCCTGCCTTTGCTTCCTCCCATCCCTCATGCTCCTCCCCCAATGCCCCCCCTCCATGCTTCGCCTCCAACCTGTTTCCCAGTATCACCCACTTCTCTTGGTCATGGTGTTCTTGTTTTGGGGTTCATGTTTCAGTTCTGAAGTCAGCATCTGACTTCCGCTTCCTGCCCTTCACCCCACACCAGGTTGAATTGCAGCTTCAAGCAAACAACTTGGCGGATCTATGTGATCCTGCACTCGCCTCCTCCTTCCTCCCACCCACCACCAACACCAGCGCCAACATCCCTACCAGCAGCCCCACCAGCAGCTTCAGCACATTCTCTGGTGCCGCCAGCACCACCACGGCAGGCACAGCAGCTGCCAGCACTGCTGATACTACACTGGGCGTTCCCATACCGAATGTCCTTATACCCTTTTTGGTGCGGCTGGCTCGTGTCGGGCTCGCATGCACAGCCATGCCGGCCTCCACCCGGCCCTCCTTGAGAAGAGTTATTGCTGAGCTGGAGATTGTGCGGGATGACGTGGCAATTGCACTGAGGCAGATGGAGGAAGAGGTGGAGAAGCAGAAAGGGGAATTGCAGGGAGGGAGGGGCGCTGTGGAAGGCAATAGGGAAAATGAGCATTCGGACTCGAGAGGTAATCCTTCCCACACTGACCCTTCCTCAACATCTCCTAATCCTTCCGCTCCTCTTTTGCAGCTTCCTCCTCCTCCTCCTCCTCCTCCTCCTCCTCCTCCTCCTGCTCCTGCTCCTGCTCCTGCTCCTCCACTCTCCCCCCGGCGCCGCTGCTATGCCAGCAGGTGGCCATGGCGGACGTGCTGCGTGCGACGGCTGGGCGGGCGGCGGACAGGCGCATCGGCAGCGGCGGGTTTGGCGACGTGTATTGCGGCGTGAGCCCCTTGGATGGGTGCACGCCCTGGGCTGTGAAGCGCGCCCGAGTGCTCACCAACGACTTCCGCCGCGAGGTGTGGTTAGTGGAATGGTGGGGATTGATGTAATGTGATGGGGGTGAGAGTAGGGGCGGAGTAATGAGAGACGTGCCCAGCAGCAACAACGTCAGAGGGCAACGGCTCCAGAGAGAGGTCAAGATGGACTTCAGTGAGAGCCAAGTTGTCGAATGAATGAAGAAAAATGTGAGAGGCATGAGCTATAAATCTAATTCTGTGGTTTGCCCCTGCGAGAGTTCCTTCCCACTCCATGTCCCCCTTTCTCCCCTTTCCTCTTCGATCTCTCCTCCCATTCTACCTTATCCTTCCCCCCGTGCCTCACTTCGTTGGGGTGGTGCCAGGTCAACGAGATGGCATCTAAACACCATCCTCACCTGGTGCGGCTGCTGGGCTTCTGTGTGGACTATGACGCGGCGGCGGATCACATGGAGCAGATCGCCATTTACGAGTTCATGCCTAACGGTGACCTGCACCACCGCTTGCATGGCGATGATGGCATAGGTGGGCACCACCGCATGCACACTGATGCCACAGGGGGGCACCACCGCATGCACACTGATGCCACAGTCCAGCCGCTGCTGCAGGGTCAAGGGCACGCCGACGCAACCTGCGAGGAGAAGAGGAAGAATACACTGCGCTGCAAGGTGGATTGACATGACATGGACCAACGTCACGGAACAAACTGCATGCGACGGACAGATGCTATGCAAGCAGACCTAGCAGAGGCAAACGCAGAGAGTACACGGCGAGGACAAGGGCGAGGAAGAACGCGCAAGCACGTCCATGATTGGAATTTGGAGTTGGCATGGCATGGTAACTGCACTCGCAACGACATGGGCTCCGTCAGAAAGAGAGGTGAGTGATGCGGCATGCCTCACCATCCAGTCCAAACTTGTCGAGCAGGCTGCCGCCAGTCAAGAATTCGTACACCAGCACCTGCACCCACAGGCCCTGCCTGTCACGCTCATGGCAGTACCCCAGCAGGCGCAGCAGGTTGGGGTGGTTCTTGTCCATCTCCACCACCTCGAGGACGGCAAGCTGGCGGGAAGGGAGCGGGTGGGGGGGGAGGGAGAGGATAAGGCGAGCAGTTCTCCACACGTGTTCTTTCCTCCTTCGCCTGCCTTGGCTCCACGGCGACCTACTTGTGTGCCGCTGTCCCGCTGAGGAACCTGCTTGGAAGAGAAGGATCGGGCGTGGCTGCATGGCAGTATGGCAGCATGGCAGCATGGCAGTAGAAGAGGTTGTCAATGGGAAGTGTGTGAGCGTGTGGGGTCTGTGGTTGAACCAGCAAAATCCGATAATTAATCGCAGTCCCGCCTCACTTTCCTTCCCTCTCCTCCTTTCACTTTCACCTCTGCGTCATGCACCCTCCCCCTCGTCTCCCCTTTATCACCCCTCCTTTCTCCGCTCTCCAACACCGCACTCTTCCGTCCCCTTCCCCCGCACACCCCTTCCCCCCCCCCCCCCCCCCCTCCCCCCCACCTTCGCTTGGAACTCTTCGAATTCGCGGAAGCGGCAGCGCTTGAGGAGCCAAGGGGTGGCGCCGTCGCGCGGGTCCACGCCCCTGAACAGGTCGCGGTAGCCGTCGTCGCCCAGGTGCATCTGCGGTGCCCAGTGGTTCGTCGCGGTTAGCATGTCCGCCAGGGAAAACCGTTGGCAGGCTGAGAGGAGGGGGGCGAGAGGGGGGAAGGGCTGGTGATAGTAAGGGGAGAGCAAGTCAATTCTGGAGAGGAAGAGGGGGACGGAGCAGCGTGGCAGAGAGGCTTGAGAGCAAGGTACACGGGGAGCAAGGTACACGGGGAGGAGGAAACACAGAAGCGAGAAAGAGCGGAACGAGCAGCCAGATTGCGCCGAGCGACGAGGGTGTGCGGGAGGCGGGATAGTCGTCAGACATTCGCGAAGCATTGAGGCGTCGCGAAACAAGGATGGCTTGGCTATCGCTAGCGTTAGCAAAGCACGAACTATATCACAGCTCGGTAACGATGGCTTGCCTCTCGCTCCGTCGGCCCGCTTGGCCGCCTTGCTCAACTTGCCAAATATCTTCCGCATCGTCGTCCACGTCAGCACACCACCACTCACTGCGAGCCACGTCGGAGAAAGGGCTGCACTGGTCGTGCCACGTCACACATACTGATTAAGTTGGGACATCCTGAAAGCCAGCGTAAGTATGCGTACTTTTACGCTTACTACTCACTGGCGCCTACGAACTCCGAGCAGGCGTGGAAGATTTCTTTAGATTTTATTTTCACTGGCGGCGATGCTCACATACTAAAACGCTGCTGCCAATGTCGCGCGCATTTGCCGGCGATCTGGTCTTGAAGAACGTCGCGAGTCGCGGACTGAGATAAATTATGACCTAATCACCGGCACAGTAACGCCTGTGGCGGCAATCATCCATGGCATCCTTTTGTAGTCTCTGAATTGTACAATATCGTAATCAACTCCTTTGTGGAATGGCAATACCACGACCAACCACTGCGCATTCCTGAGATTTGATGTGCTTTTTTGTGAGGCTGGCTTTATGGTTGTACGATTCACAAAAATCCCCATCGTACGTACCCGCAATTGATTTTTTACTCTCACGCTGTCTACACTCTCAACCCTCCGCGGCACGGTTCCACCACACCACAGCGCGCTCCGATAACGGAAGCCGTGCAGCGCACCGACCATGGCGCTGACGGCACATGCCGTCGCACGCCCTCACAGCGCGCCTGTCGCGATTCACGGAGGCGCGTTTGTTCGCTCTAGTACCAGTGACCGTCACATCCCCTGCGCGCAATTCTGTGCGTTCTCTGTCACTCGCCTCTCCGCCTTGCGCGCAGCCCGCCTGTCCACCAGTCGCGCGTCCTCGTGCGCAAGCGGGCACGGCGCAGGCGGATGCCGGGCGGGCGGATTCGGCGACAGGCGCAGCGCCAGGCGCAGGGGCAGGCGCAGCGCCAGGCGCAGCGCCAGGCGCAGTGGGCGCTGCAACAGGTGACGCTGACAGAGGCACGAGAGAAGCGGCGTCGGCGCGGGGCGGAAAGGCCGCAGCGCGGGGAGGAAGGGCGGCCTTGGAGTCGGAGTCGAGCGTGGATTCGAGCAGTGGCAGCTTCCACTCGCTGGGGCTGCCCGCGGGTCTGGCGGAGCGCGTGGCGTCGCTGGGGTTTTTCGAGCCCACCGACATCCAACGACGCGCCGTGCCCGCCCTCATGCAAGGTGCCCGCCCTCATGCAAGGTGCCCGCCCTCATGCAAGGTGCGCGCTGCCCTGAAGCTTAAACCCCGAATCCTCAATCCTTAAATCTTTGAAACCGCTGCTTGCCCGCGCGCACTGGCCGTGCCTCTATTTCATTCCACCCCCACTTCCTACTGGTCTCAAATCTCTATTCCTCCCTTTTACTCGTTCCCTTCACACGCGTGTCCCCTAACCCCCTTCCTGAACCCCTATTCCCCACCCTAGTCTCCCCTCCTCCCTCACCTTTTCCTTTCTTCCGTGCCCCATTCATCCCCGCAACATGCCCCATTCATCCCCGCAACATGCCCCATTCATCCCCGCAACATGCCCCATTCATCCCCGCAACATGCCCCATTCATCCCCGCAACATGCCCCATTCATCCCCGCAACATGCCCCATTCATCCCCGCAACATGCCCATTCATCCCCGCAACATGCCCCATTCATCCCCGCAACATGCCCCATTCATCCCCGCCCCATTCATCCCCGCAACATGCCCCATTCATCCCCGCAACATGCCCCAATCATCCCCGCAACATGCCCCATTCATCCCCGCAACATGCCCCATTCATCCCCGCAACATGCCCCATTCATCCCCGCAACATGCCCCATTCATCCCCGCAACATGCCCCATTCATCCCCGCAACATGCCCCATTCATCCCCGCAACATGCCCCATTCATCCTCGCAACATGCCCCATTCATCCCCGCAACATGCCCCATTCATCCCCGCAACATGCCCATCCATCCCCGCAACATGCCCATCCATCCCCGCAACATGCCCATCCATCCCCGCAACATGCCCATCCATCCCCGCAACATGCCCATCCATCCCCGCAACATGCCCATCCATCCCCGCAACATGCCCATCCATCCCCGCAACATGCCCATCCATCCCCGCAACATGCTCCACTCTTCCCCGTTGCACTGCAATCAGCTCGTCCCTCCCACCCGCCACATTCATGCTTCCTGCTCCCCGCCCCCACGTCCCTTCTTTTCTCTCCTCTTCTTCCCTCCCGTTCCCCCAAACCCCCATCCGCACCCTCCCCTTTCCCTTACCTCCAATTTCGTCCCCTACTTCCAAGCAGCCCCACTAAAGGCCTTCTGCGCCCTGTTTCCCCGCCTCGTTCTCTCCCCTCTTCCCTCCCTTCCCACTGCTCCCCCCGTTTTCCTCCACGCCCGTCCCCCCTTTCGCCTCCCCCCCCGCGCCACCAGGCACGGATGCGGTGTTGCAGTCATTCACAGGGTCAGGCGAGATGCTCGCCTATCTGCTGCCTATCTCCCTGCCCCTTTCCCCTTCCCTCTACTCCCATCCCTTTCGCCTCCTCCCCACCGCCACCAGGCACGGACGCCGTCCTGCAGTCGTTCACGGGGTCGGCCAAGACGCTCGCCTATCTGCTGCCCATCCTCGCCTCTGTGGGCCCCCTCAGCCGCCCCCGTGGCCACCCCGTCATCCCCCCATCGCCCTACTCCCCCCCCACCGCCACCAGGCACAGACGTGGTTCTCCAATCATTCACAGGTTCAGGCAAGACGCTCGCCTACCTGCTGCCCATCCTCGCCTCTGTGGGCCCCCTCAGCCGCCCCTCAGCCGCCCTCTCAGACCCCACTGGGCCGGCTGGGGACGGCGGAGGGGCGGGAGAGGTAGACGGCAAGGGCAAGAGGGGCAAGAAGGGGCGCGCAGGCGGAGGGGGCGGGGGAGGCGGAGGGGGAGGGGGCGTGGAGGCGGTGGTGGTGGCGCCGTCTCGGGAGCTGGCGATGCAGATCGTGAGAGAGGCGGAACGCGTGCTGGGCGAGGAGCACAAGGTGGGAGGCTGAGGGGGGTAGGGCACAGGTGGGAGGGGGGAAGGGAGGGCGGGGTACAGGTGGGTGTGCGGAACACAAGGTGAGGCGAGGCAAGACGAGGAGGTGTGGGGAACACAGGACGAGCACAAGGTGAGGCGAGCAGCACAAGGTGAGGCGAGCAGCACAAGGTGAGGCGAGGAGCACAAGGAGGTGTGGGGGGGGGAACAAGGAGCATGACGTGTGTGGTGGGGGGAAGAGGAGATGGGGGAGGGGCACACGGTGGGGATTGATTGGGCTGGAGCACAAGGTGGGGCGAGGAGCATAGCATTTGCTGCAAGCAGATTCCCCTCCAGTGAGCGACAGCCCCTTCCATACCCCCTCCTCCTCACACATTCCCTCGCACCCCCCACCATCCGTCGCCCCCTGGCCCACAGCAGCACTGTGCGCAGCAGGTAATCAGTGGGGCGAACCCTCCTCCTCACGCATTTCCCTCTCACCCCCAACATTTCTCGTCCCCTCGCCCCCTGCCTCACTAACAGCGCTGTGTGCAGCAGCTGATCGGAGGGGCGAACCCCCACCGGCAGGAGGAGGCGTTGAAGAAGCACCGGCCGTGCATCGTGGTGGGCACGCCGGGGCGCATCGCTGAGAGCAGCCGCGCGGGGCGGCTGGCGACCCACGCGTGCCGGTGGCTGGTGCTGGACGAGGCGGACATGCTGCTGTCACACCGCTTCCGCATGGATATGCTCCGCATCCTTGACCATGTGGGAAGGCGAAAGTGAGTGGGTGGGTGGGGTGCTGCGGGATAGTGTGTGGGGGGCGAACTGCAAGTGAGGTGGCTGGTGCTGGACGAGGCTGACATGCTGCTGTCACACCGCTTCCGCATGGATATGCTCCGCATCCTTGACCATGTGGGAAGGCGAAAGTGAGTGGGTGGGTGGGGTGCTGCGGGAAAGTGTGTGGGGGGCGAACTGCAAGTGAGGTGGCTGGTGCTGGACGAGGCTGACATGCTGCTGTCACACCGCTTCCGCATGGATATGCTCCGCATCCTTGACCATGTGGGAAGGCGAAAGTGAGTGGGTGGGTGGGGTGCTGCGGGATAGTGTGTGGGGGGCGAACTGCAAGTGAGGTGGCTGGTGCTGGACGAGGCTGACATGCTGCTGTCACACCGCTTCCGCATGGATATGCTCCGCATCCTTGACCATGTGGGAAGGCGAAAGTGAGTGGGTGGGTGGGGTGCTGCGGGATAGTGTGTGGGGGGCGAACTGCAAGTGAGGTGGCTGGTGCTGGACGAGGCTGACATGCTGCTGTCACACCGCTTCCGCATGGATATGCTCCGCATCCTTGACCATGTGGGAAGGCGAAAGTGAGTGGGTGGGTGGGGTGCTGCGGGATAGTGTGTGGGGGGCGAACTGCAAGTGAGGTGGCTGGTGCTGGACGAGGCTGACATGCTGCTGTCGCACTGCTTCCGCATGGGTATGCTGAGGATTCTGGACCACGTGGGAAGGCGCAAGTGAGTGGGGGGGTGAGGCACCACACCGCAAGTGGGATGGCTACTGCAGGTGAGTGCATGCGTGCCGGTGGCTGGCTGGTGCTGGACGAGGCGGACATGCTGCTGTCGCACCGCTTTAGGCCTGATGTGCGGCGCATTCTTGACCATGTGGGGCGGCGTAAGTGAGTTTGTGAGGATTGCATGCAAGTGATTGGGTGGGGAGGTGCTGGTGAGTGGGTGGCTGAGGCGAGTGTTGGGAAACATGGAGTGTTTTCTCATGGCGGACCAGCATGTGACGTGTCCCTTGCAAGCACATCGTCCATGTGTCTCCTCGTCATCTCATTCCATCGCCACCTCCCCTGCTTCTCGTGCCGCTCGCTCTCCAGATCCCTTCACCACCCTGCACCCAGCACCACCACGAGACAAGCGCATCACCAGCGGGCAGCAGAGCAGAGAGGCAGCTGGTGATGGTGTCAGCCACGGTGCCACGGCCCGTGCTGGAGGCGGCGTGCAAGTGGGGCTCGCACCCGCTGCTCGTGCAGCAGCACGCCATGCAGCCCATTGACACCCGCTCTGCTGCCGCTGCCACTGCTGCTAGCCTGGCAGGCAGCTCCTCTCATGCCACTGACTTGCTTCGTGTTCCTGCTGCTGCTGAAGCATCAGCAGCACATGGAGTGCTCGTGATTCCACCGCCAGCGCAGGCAGGAGGGGTGGCAGGAGGGGTGCTGGCGTCGCTGGGGAGAGGCAGTGAGGAGGCGCCACTGGTGGCGCTGAGGGACAGCCTGCCGCCCAACCTCGAGCACTGGTGAGCGTCGCAGACTGGTGAGCGTCGCAGACTGGTGAGCGTCGCAGACTGGTGAGCGTCGCAGACTGGTGAGCGTCGCAGACTGGTGAGCGTCGCAGACTGGTGAGCGTCGCAGACTGGTGAGCGTCGCAGACTGGTGAGCGGTGTAAAGCACTGGTGAGCGGTGTAAAGCACTGGTGAGCGGTGTAAAGCACTGGTGAGCGGTGTAAAGCACTGGTGAGCGGTGTAAAGCACTGGTGAGCTCCCTCTCCTCGCATTCTCTCTCGTACGCTGAGGTGCCAGCCTTGCCGTGAGGTGCCAGCCTTGTCCTGGTGGTTCCTGACAGGTCCAGGTGTACAGCTGCCCCTGCTCCCTCCCCACTCCTTTCCTTCACCTCCCCATCATCTCATCTCATGATCCATCCATTTGGCACCATCCCTCCCCCTCTCCCCCACAGCTATATAGTGGTGAATTGGCGGCACCAAGTGAACGTGGTGCGGCATGCATGCCGTGCCTCACCCATATGCCTCCACCCCTCTCCCGTCCTCTCCCCCTCACCCCTCATCCCCCCCTCTCAGCTACATAGTGGTGAACGGGCACCACATTGTGAATGTGGTGCGGCACCACACTGTGTGCACAGCATACACTGCCAGCGCGCCCATCCCATAAACCCCCATCCCTCTTCCCCCTCTCCCCCCTCCCCCCTCCTCCCCCCACACAGCTACATCGTAGTGAATAGGCAGCACTTGGTGGTCGTAGTGAATAGGCAGCACTTGGTGGTCGTAGTGAATAGGCAGCACTTGGTGGTCGTAGTGAATAGGCAGCACTTGGTGGTCGTAGTGAATAGGCAGCACTTGGTGGTCGTAGTGAATAGGCAGCACTTGGTGGTCGTAGTGAATAGGCAGCACTTGGTGGTCGTAGTGAATAGGCAGCACTTGGTGGTCGTAGTGTGGTGCTGCGTGCACACGCTGGCAGCACCCTCCACCCATCAACCTCCATCCCTCATCCCTCGTTCCCTCCTCTCTACCCAACTCCCCCCCTCACAGCTACATAGTGGTGAACAGGCGGCATCACGTGGACGTGGTGCGGCGCTGTGTGCATGCATTGGAGGCGCGGTCAGCCATGGTGTTCATGAACTTTGGGCGCCGCCTGGTGGACGTGCAGCACAAGCTGCAGGCAAGAGGGCTGTCCGCGGCTGCGCTGCATGGGACCATCTCCAAGCTCGCCCGCACCAACATCATGTCCTCTTTCAGGTGCTGCCCCCTTCAGGTGCCGCCCTGCTTCAGGTGCTGTCCTCTCTCAGCTCCAAGTCCGTGCCTTGCAGAGCTGTGCACCTTCAAAGCCTCTTCCTGTGCATCTTCAAGATAAATTCAAGTGCGAAAATAATTTCGTAGTGCTTGGACATCTTGAATGCAGGGTCCGTTAACTCCAGCCTGTGATGTTTCCCGTCCCGCACGCATTCTCCTTTCTGCGCCCATACCAAATGCCCTTGCCTCGCCATGCTGGCAGGGACGGTGGGGTGCAAGTGCTGCTGGCCACAGAAATGAGTGTGCTGGGGCTGGACGTGGTGGCTTCACCCTCACTTTGCCCTCACCAAATCCACGTGTTTCCCAATGCTGGCAGGGATGGCGGCGTGCGAGTGAACATGGGCTGGATGTGGTTGAGTGAACATGGGCTGGATGTAATTGAGTGAACATGGGCTGGATGTGGTTGAGTGAACATGGGCTAACTGTGATTGAGTGAACATGGGCTGGATGTGGTTGAGTGAACATGGGCTGGATGTGGTTGAGTGAACATGGGCTAACTGTGATTGAGTGAACATGGGCTGGACGTGGTTGAGTGTGACCTTGTGGTCAACCTTGAGCTGTCCGAATTGTAGCCTCTCCAGCACTCATTCTCCTCTGTCCGCCCCTCCCTTCGCCCTTACCAAATGCCCTCAACTCGCTCCTCTGTTCTGACAGGGATGGCGGGGTGCAAGTGCTGCTGGCCACAGAGGTGGGTGCACGCGGGCTGGACGTGGTGGATTGCGACATCGTAGTCAACCTTGAGCTGCCCTCCATGTTGCCTCTCCTGCACTCATTCGCTCCTCTCTTTTCCCTCCCTTCACCCCTCTCTTTCCCCCTCCCTTCGCCCCTACCAAATGCTTTCAACTCTTGACTCCTGATGCTGTCAGGGATGGCGGGGTGCGAGTGCTGCTGGCAACAGAGGTGGGTGCGCGCGGGCTGGACGTGGTCGACTGCGACCTCGTAGTCAACCTTGAGCTGCCTGCCTCGCCCGCTCACTACGCGCACCGCGCCGGTCGCACGGGGCGGCTGGGGCGGCGCGGCGTGGTGGTGTCGGTGTGTGAGGAGCGCGAGGAGTTTGTGGTGCAGCGAGTGGCGCGAGATCTGGGCGTGAAGATGGAGCGTGTTGAGGTGGTGGAGGGCAGCCTCGTGCCGTATGAGGGGCGCATGAAGTACTGATTGACTATGATGGGCAGCTCTACCAGGCCTAAATTAAATAGAGTTTGACTGGGAAGAATGCCCTTCTAGTCGTTTAGAGACTAGAGAATTGTTTCATAGCGGAAGTTCTGAATTCTTGAGCTGGTGAGAGAAGTATTGACCAATATAAATAAACGATAACTCTACTATAACGTTACACTCCTTCACGATGAGCGGATGACGCGGTCAAGCTGCTGTAACTCTAGTGCGAGGAAGTAACGAAGCGCAATGTGCTTTGTTCTGTGCTCCAATCACTGCTCTCGACACAAGGCTATCATGGCCTTGTTGTCGACATTCAGAACCGGAGGAGAACGAGGCCGCTCGTTCGAGTCCGTTAGCAAGTAGGTCAGCCAGCGTAACTCCTGTGCAGACATGACGCCCGCTGAACCTCAGCCTCACTATTAGAGATGAGAATAGAAGACGAGCGGGTGGACCTCCAGGAGACAGAACCAAAGCCGAGACTGAAAGTGTAACCCTGTGACGACCGCCGAGTCTCCTGGTCGTCAGCCCAAGAAGCATCTGGGTGCCAGTGAGCACAACTGGACCCCGTCCTCCAAGCACAAGCCCCATGCCTGATGTACTGCACAAGTAATGCATTACCCTCTGCGCAGCCCGGTAGTGCTCAAGGCGGTGCTTGCCAGGCGCAACGAAGCGCGCCACGGTGCTGAGAGGGTACACGAGGTTAGGTCGAATGCACGTCATCAGGTACATGAGGTAGCCCACAAGCTCTGGATACGGACCTTTGGCTCTACGGACTCGTCCAAAGGTGGAGCTGAGAGCGAGAGGCTCACCGGCAGACGAGTGGGCTGTGGCTAGGAGAACCGAAAGCAGAAGCGCATCAAGACCTGCTGCACCATGTGTGACTGAGTTAGTGTGATGGTGTGTCTTGCTTTGTCCCGGGTGATCTGCAAGCCAAGATAAATGCACAACTCACCCAGGTCAGCGCAAGTGTGTCTCTTCTGCAGCTCCGCCTTCACAAGGACCAGTACCTCAGTGTTAGTCGTAGCAAAGACCAAGTTGTCGACGTACACGAGGATGTAGAACAGCGGCAGTGATAGAAAGGTCGGTGCGCAGAAACAGCGACGGGTCAGCAGTCAAAGGAGCAAACCCAAGAGCTGCAAGTGTCGTCCTCAGTGTGTCGTGCCACTCGCGGGGCGCCTGGCGGAGACCGTAGACTAGCCGAAACGAAAAGAGGCTCCACTGGGTACCCTTAAGAAACGACCCAGTGAAGCCAAGTGGGCGGCGCAGCCAGATCTCCTTGTGAAGGTTGCTCTGCAGGAAGGCTGTGGAGAAGTCAAGCAAATGGAGCTTGTAGTTACGTTGTGCTGCAACGTGCAGTAACACCCGAAGAGTGGTCATCTTCGGGGTTGGGGAGAAGGTCTGGAAGAAGTCGACCCCCTTCCACTGACCGAAGCCTCGTGCAACGTAACGCGCCTTGGAGACAGTCAGACTTAGTGCCTGACAAAACACTGTGCAACAAAGGAAGGACGAAGTGTCATGGTGTGCATGCCGGGGACAGGTGGAGGACGAACACAGGGAGCACGACGAGTTCAAACAGGTGTGGAAGGACGAGACGCATGCTCTCGACGATCGGTCAGGGAGTCTGTCGACTCAGTGTAAGGAGAAGGAGCAGGCAGTGGGGAGTCAGGCTGTAATTGTGTCTAGGATGGGTCCGTCGATGGACACAGTAGAGGAGGAGCGACAACAGTGGAAGACGGAAGACTGAGAACCTAGAAAAGTGCCAAGCCGAGTGGTGGTAGTGATGACCACGAAGAAGAACGGTCTAAGAAGAACGGTCGCCATTGTGCAGCACCCCTAGCTCCAGTACCTCCAGCACTGCCAGCTCCAGCACCTCCAGCACCAGCAGCTCCAGCACCTCCAGTGGTAGTACCTCCAGCACCTCTAGTGGTAGTACCTCCAGCAACAGAACCCCCAGCACCGCCAGCTCCAGTACCTCCAGCACAAGCTACTCTAGCTATAGTACCTCCAGTGTCAGCAACCCCATGCTCAACACCCCTAGAGTCAGCACCTCCAGACTCAAGGCAGCAGAAGCAGCAAGCCTCACTGTGGCCCTACCTGCCGCAGACGTCTCATGCGCGGGGACCCGTGCGCCTAACGTAGGTGCAGGGACCTCCTCCTCCGGGGCCACCTCGCTGGATCACCCACCCATGAAGCTGCTGCAGCGAGAGGGTCTCATATCGATGCGTCTGCTGCTGCTGTTCACCCTCAGAGCCTCTGCCTCCAATAGCTGTGCGCCCAGACACAACTCCTTGACCTCCACCCCCACTAGCTCCACCACGACTGCCACCCAAGCCGCCTCCGCCACCCCCAGTGCCGCCACCTCCCTCACCACCACCACCTCCGCTGCCCCCAATACCGCCACCACCAGCGCCCCTGCCACCGCCACCCCCGCCGCTACCCTCACCACCCTTGTTCTTCTGCCCACCCCTTTTGCCCCTCCCATTCGGAGCAGACGCCACATTGACTTCCTCAGGACCGAGGAAGTCAACAGCAGCAGCAGAGGCGACAGAAGGTGCGAGGAGGGAAGGAGAGCAGCCCTCAAAGAAAGAGGTGCGGGGAGTACCACGCGAGGCACCTACAGCGTAGGCACTAGTCTCAGCCTCCAAGAGTCGTGACTAAAACGAGGCTAGGGCGAAGGGAGTCAGGGAGATGGGTCAGTAGGAAGTAGAGAGTGATGTACATCGGGGGAGGGGTGTAATAGTCTGTGAGGATCTAGGATCGAGCTCAGGAAAGAGGGTTTGAATTGAATGATTTACCTGGATTCAACACGAGGCTATATATAGTCTCGACACAAGGCCAGTAACCCAGGTGTTACGTGATGGTTCCAAGAATTGCGAAGCGTCCCGAATGGAGCCTTCCCAAATTCGGTAGAAGGCAATTCGGTGGCAACCAACAAGCCTGGAATCGGTGCCCGCAGCCTAGCTCGGTGCTATAACTATAATAAAATATAGGAATGCACCTAACCTAGGAAATCAAGCAAAAGCATGAATGAGAAAATAAACCTAAGCTAGAAATAGCGTAGTCACAATAGGCTTGAATGTGCCTAAAACGAAAGATAGAGTGCACAGCGGCTTCAAACGTTCATGCCGTTCTAGTCACAACTCTAAATGACCTGATTAATTGGAACTAGAGCGTCTTGACGTCATCTACAATAGGCAATTTAGATCGCATGATTTCATCAAGTCTTGACGCCGTAATATCAGTTTGAACGAACAGCACTATGGCAGTCACTTTAGTCTAAGAACACACATTAGGAAGAGTTGCGAGTTGGGAATGACTCCCAGCCTCTACAAACCCCAAGAGCCGAGGTACAGTGATGTAGAACAGTGCCACACTGTCCCCAACCACTGGCAACAGTGGGTTTGCTGGTCGGGCGGGAGGTGGTTGCGGACTGCAAGCGCGGTAGTGGCGTCACGTGCTAACCACTGTTCTAGCTTCGCAGTCAGCCTTATACTTCTGCTGTGCTTCTGCACGCGAAGTAGGGACAGGCTCAATCGGAGTGAGCAGGGCCAGGAGGGAGCCTGAGGTGTGCTCAAAGAGAGATACGCCGTCTCTGGTAACGCTAAGCACATATAGGTGAAGCCCCTCGAGCCAGGACTTGTACTCGATAGGGCTATCCTTGGCGCCATAGTAAGCAGCACGAGCAGCAGCGGCGCTCAGGCAGTAGTAGCTGAAGGGCAGCGGCACTGGCTGTGCGGCCGTAGTAGGTAGAGTGGCAGGGGCAGCAGTGGCTGTAGCGGCAAGGGCAGCTGCAGCTGTGGCAGCACCGGCTGCAGTAGCAAGGGCGGCTGCAGCAGTGGCAGCAGTGGCTGCAGCGGCAAGGGCAGGTGCAGCAGTGGCAGCAACGGCTATAGCGTCTGTAAGGGCAGAAGCAGCAGCAGGCAGCAGCAGCGGCGGCTGTAGGCAGCAGTAAGAGCATCAGCAGGACGGGCTGTGTGCAGCAGCTCGCGGGGCAGCTTGCGGTAGGGCAGCGCGCAGCTGGCACGACGCACGGCAAGCGGCCGCGCAATAGGTAGAGAACGGCGCACGCTAGGGGCGCGCGATGGGCAGCGAAGGCGCGCGCACTAGGGGCGTGTGACGGGCAGAAAACGACATACGCTAGAGGCGCGCAGCGGGCAGCGAAGAGGTGTGCACTAGGGGCTCGCCACAGGCAGTAGAAGGGGCGGCTAAGGGTGGGTTCGAAAAGGAAAAAAGTTCTTAAAGGGCGTTCCTAAGAAACTAACCGCTCTATACCATGTTGAGAAGAATCTGTAGTGATGATCGACTAAGGGGAATTGAGAAGTACAAATATGAACTCTATTGAGTTGTACTCTTTACTGAGTACCCCAAAATAGCCTACAAAAATGTATGATATTTGACAACTCCACCACTGCGCCTCTTTGGACCCTGCATATGGACATCTCGGTTCCTGCCCGCATCCCTAGGCCGCGCTGGGAGCACTACTTCCTAATCAATGTGGATGACTTCTCCTGCTATACCAAGGTGTTTCCCTTGTAGCGAAGGACGACGCGATTGACGCTCTCATTCCGTGGCTCATATTTGTCCGTGCCTAGAGCGCTCAGCGTGTCCTTCGTCTGCACACCGACCCTAATGGCAAGTCGTAATAGTTATAATAGGTTCAAATGTGCAGAAAACAAAAATAGATTGCGGAGACGGATATTTGCACAGCGACTTCAAACGTTGATAGCGTTTTATTCACAGCCCTAAATGATATGCTATAAATTGGATCTAGAGGATCTTAACGTCATATACAATAGGCAATTTGAATTGCACGATTTCATTAAGAACTGAACACACAATGTCAGATTGAACGAATGGCACTATGGGAGCAACTATAGTCTTAGAGCACAACGTAGGAAGAAGTTACGAGTTGGGAATGACTCCCAACCTTTACAAACAACAAGAGTCGGGTTCTAAGGAGCTGGAACAGCCAAAAGTCCCCAAGCTGGAAAGGTGTGGAA